ATTTTCTTAAATTTATATAAAAATAAGTTATTGAAGAGATATTTATTTATAATTTAATTTTTAAAAAATCTTGTTTTTTTATACACTGATATAACCTGGTTGGACAGTACATTCCCTCCCCCCTCCCCGTCCATTTTCGAAGCGTGCTATCTGTTTTAAATGAATCGGCAAATCAACAATTTTGGTTGACCTTTTATTTAATTGATTGATTTTATTTAAATTAAATTTCTAACTTCCTCAATCGGTCTTAAAAATAAAGCATAAATGATTAACTTAATACAAAGAATCACGCCCTCATTATTGGCAACCTCGTTACGCCCCTGATCAGCGAAAAACTGAAACAATTAAAAAGTTTATTCTAAAGTAAGTCTGGTATTAACTAAATTTCTTAGTTTAACTGCAAATCCCAATAACTTAAATAAAAATCAAAATAATATTATCATTCGTAGCCCATTTCAAAGCTCATATAGTCTAAGGTTTTACTAGTTGCCAAGCTGCAGAATTTTCTTTGGTTTTCCTGCCGCCCTCGCTTGTAGGCGCAGTTGTGTATTCAGCTGGCTTTCGACTTTTCCCCGCTTACACGTTGTGCACGTAATTGAAAATTAACTTGTCTCGCTGACTGCAAACTACCTTTGCCTGTTTCCTTGTCTCCTTGTGCCTGGCTGCTAGGCTGTCAAGGATTTCTGTGGCCAGATGCGTGCTGCATATTGATGTGACGCCGAGGCTTGCATAGATAGCTATGGGAAGTGAGACGATAGATGATAGATTGAAAGAGCGCAAGGCGAAAGCAGTTACTTAAGCATACTTTTTGTTTTTATTTACAATACTTGTTGGCTTAACTAGTTAAAGCTATACACCAGCTACGAGGCCATGCAGAGAGCCAAGTGTTTTATTTTAAATATATATATCTATACTATTTAGCGAATCGGTTCGCTACCAGAAACTGCAGCGGCTTACTGGATTCATGGGCGTGCCCGGCGCACAGTTGAAGACCTCAGCGAACTCGGGCATCTGGGCCAGGGCATAGTTCAGGCGCTTGCTGCCCGTATCGTGATAGATGTCCGCCTCCTCGCCGCAAAAGAATTGCGCGAATTGCACAAAGTACAGACGGCCATTGTGGCGCCTCTCCAGCGGGTCCTTCATGTACGTGTTGAGTGCGAGACGTGTGCCGCTGATGTCGGCAATTCGTTCATTCAACATCACATGCTCGCTGTCGTTGAGGCAATTCACCGCCTTCAAGTAGTTCTTGTTGAGCACCAGCTGATCGCTGTAGTCGCGCATTTCGCCCTGGGCATCGTAGTCCACAAAGTACGTGTCGATGGAGTGGAGCATCTCGTGGCCCAGGGTATTGGCCAGATCGCCGTAGAGCAGAGCTGGCCAGAACTGTGACTCGTATAGTGGCAGCTGCATGTAGGCGTATGGCATTATTATAATGCTGCCCAGGCAGTAGAAATAGGGCGTGGCATCGATATTGTCCAGCAGCTCGGGTCCATGATGATTGAAGCTGAACCACACCTGTCGCATTGCCGCATCCTCTGTGCGCTCCAGCTCGGCCAGATGATCGTAGTAGTGGAGCAGACTGTTCAAGTGATTCTCATAGAAATCGTTGCCCACTCGCCAGTGCTGCACGCACTCCTCATAGAACTGATCGCTCACATTGCGCGGCAGATTGCCGACATTGATCCGCAAGCCCTGCACCTTGTCCAGCAGTGCGTCCAGCAGCGTTGCATTCAGGCCAAGCACATTGAGGCGCAGCTGCTGGGCGAACTGCTGCTTCAGCTCCGCAAAGACTCCGAAGATCACATGCTCATCCGCCTGCCGTTGCTTGCCGTAGTAGTTCCGCTCGTAGGCGAAGTTCATGGCCAGGTAGAGAGTCTTGCGCATGTGCTGGACACAGCTGGTCGCTGAGCCAGCACTGAAGCTGGGCTGGGGATTGCTGAGCGGATTGTGTGGCAGTTGCATCAGATGCTGCAGGAAGCGCGCCCAGCTATACAGCTGCAGGAGCCGTGCATCGGCCCGGTTGAGATAGCTGATCAACTGTCGCAGCGCCGGCAGATCGTCGGCCAGCAGCTGATAGCTGCCCGGATAGATGGCGCCCAGCTGCAGGTGCAATACGTGCGTCCAATTCAAGTCCGGCAGCTCCTGCTGCAGCTGCTCCAGCGTGTAGGTGCTAACCGTTTCCTCGTCGCTGCTGCCGTTCGGCGGCTGGGCCATCTCTTGCAGCGTCTGCTCGAGCTGCTTGAACTGCTCACTCAGCTGCTTCAGGCTGGGCAACTGGCCGTGCGTGTGCCGCCTCAGGGCGTTGTAGATGCTGCCGCTGAGACTCAGATTGAGGTAGTAGTTGTGGGGCATCACCACGATCATGTGCTGGCTGGCATTGTGCTGGCTCACCTCGATCTTCACGTAGTGCTCGTGGTAGCCATAGCGCCCCAGCACCGCCAGCAGATCGGCCCAGTGATTGCCGCCAATGTGGGGCAGCTGCTCCAAGTAGCGACGTAGCCTCGGCTTGCCCAACGCGCGACAGCTGTGATAGTAGCGCAACAGCTTCCCATACAGGGGCAGCGAATGCTCCGTGGATCGCGGCACGTGCAACAGCCGCTCGAACAGCTCCACATAGCGCTGATCGATCCGCGCGCCGCTCAGCGACATGGCCGACTCGCCCATCTTGTGCACCGACCTCCAATTGCCGCAGGCATACGCATAAAAGTCCTGGCACGCATCCAGCTCCGGTCGCATGTACCGCTTAAGCAGTTGAATGTGCCGCAGATTGAGCTCAGCGCTGCAGGCTGGCTCCGTCGCCGTCTCGGCCGCCGTCAGGCGGCAGCTTTGATTCAGGTGGGCCGTGGGCAGCGCCTTGACACCTTGGCCTTGGCTAACCAGCAGCAGCAGCAGCAGGCAATGGGCCCAGAGATGTCGCATTTTGTGTGAGTTTCCTTTCTCGATTTCGTAACGCTTTCAATTTAATAACAGCTGTAATCAATTTCTTGAGTTTTCTCTTTTAGCTTCGTATTAGTTCTGTATGATATGCACTGCACTTCGGAGCAGCAATTGTTGTAGTAGCAGTTGTTGTTGTTTTTGGTTTCCTTTAGGCGCACACATGTCAGCAAATTGTTTCGAAAATATATTTCTTAAACTTTCGATTGATTGTATTTCACAATTTGCGTTATTTATTTTGCAGAAGGTTTCGTTGCGCGTTCGCCGCTTGCTAAAAATCAACTAAAAACTCGTTTCACGCGTTTCCATTTTTTATGTACTCGTTTTTAATTCATTCAAATCACACACACACACACACACACACACACAGACGCACACATACATACACTTTCATGCGCTCACGTATGTGTGTTTAATTCTTGCAGCGCGCTTTTTACATTTATTTAATTTTATTTGAATTTGCTTGAGTTGCTTATCAACGATTTAAATACGTCTTTTCTTTTAGTTAGTGTGCGGCGGCTTATCTATGATACACTGTCAGAAATGTGCATGTCTTTGTTAAAGTATTAAATAAGTTTATTGTCATGTAAGAACTTATAAAGCTATCGTGAAATATGCAAAGATATTGCATAAGAAATTGCATCAGATTATTTTTGTATAATTTAATACACAGCAATCAAAGTTTCAGATTTCATAATGCTTTACAATTTTTTATTGTTATATATAGCTAATAATTTTTATTCTTGACCAACTGCTTAGGCTCAACATTCTTTTATTGTCTTATGAGTGAAGAAAAATCGATATAGCAGTGTATGTTAAACTAGGGGAATATTTTGTCTATGTTTGGCAGCCCAGAAAATTTTCCACTGCAATCGGTTCAAGCTTCGTTTCACTTTCGATCTCAAATTATAATGATAGAATTAATTTGTATATGCTTTAGCTATTCTGTTTGTTTATAAACAAACCAAATTTGATTATACCTATCTATTTATAGTTGGCTGCAAAATATTTCCATGTTTAATGTCTTGCGATTTTTTATTTTAAATTATGTATTTATTTTTATTTATTTATTTTTTTAAATTCTTTTTTATATTGATATTTATATTAACATTTTTATGCGTTGATTATTATTATTTTTTTTAGATATTTAATTTAAAGACAAAAGTAATATTTTCTTAATATGTCAAAAGAAAAGTTTTGATCACATTTGAATGCATTACTTAGCTGTTTTTTTTTTCCTTTTTTTTTTTTTAAATTTCAACTAATTTAAAATTTTGTTTTATTCGATATGAAAATTATCAGAACTTTTTAAACTATTTAGTTCACTTAAAAATTAATAACAAAAAGTTTAAATTTATCTATATTAGAACAAAAATATTTGTACAACACTTTAATGCTCTGTCTGTTTTAATTTAGACTAATTTAAAATAGCAATTGATATATTTCAACATTTTGTGTAATTAATTATTTTATATATATTTTTTTTTTTATAAAATGAAATTTATGAAAGATTTCAGTGCAGTTCGGTTCGGCTTGAATTACAATTCGAAAATTGTTTCAATTCATGTTTTAGTTATTAATTGTCATCAGCGTCGCCATCGAGCGGCTGCCTTGCCCTGATAAGGCATTGGATGACGCAATTCGGCGTTGCAATTAATGATTAACCTAACGCACGAGAGGTTCGCACGGGGGTCAGAGAACGGCAAGTGCTTGCGATATGCTGTCCCTGATTTATGCATTTACAAAACATTAAACTCGAGCATTCGTTGGCTGCTTGGACCATTCGATAGGGGGCTTGTCCACTGCGCATTGGACTTTTGACTCCTCGACTGGCGAGTGGCGAGTAGTGAGTGGCGATTGACATGTGGCGAGAGATGAGATATGAATTTGATGGCAATCGTTTCCTTTGTGTTGCCGTCTAGTTGTGACGTTTCCAGCACTTGCCGCCTTATCGGGCTCATTAGTGATTCGATAGAGCACAATTTGTCGCTGACTGATTGTTCTGGCACTAATTGTACAATTATATTATGTTTGTGTTTCTATCTTTTATTTTCAACTTACAAATCCGTAATATGACTTGGCAATGGAAAATCAATTTTATTGTTTAAATTATATTGAAATGTATAAAATAATAATTCTAATTTTAGCGTTAATTTTGACAGCTGAACAACTCAATTTTTTCTGATTTAATAAATATATTTCCATTATAAAATTA